TACTGACAGTACACCTATATTATATGCATGATCAATTGATCTTACTAAAAATATACCTAAATCATTCCAGAAAAAATCCAAAAAAACATCTACAGTAAAACCATCATTGCCTGGACTGGTATTATTTGACATGCGTTTCAGACTATTCAACATTTCATTGTAAGTGAGGGCGCTTTCAATAGACTGTTTATCATTATCTGATAATTTTGGTATGTCCGTATTTTACAAAATTTGACTTAAAGACACTGTTTCTGTATTTCTGACTTTATATAAATTTTCATAATGCCTCTTTGCTTCGGCAAGTATTTCTTCCTGATTTTTGTAAATGTTTTCCTTTTTCTGTTATTAAAGAATTCATAAATTTTGACTCATAATTTCTGTTTTCCAAATTGCAAAAGTATCTTGTAGGTTTATCCATTTAGCTCTTCATCTGATAAATACACCATCCATTTTATTCTACCGTTAATCTAAAAGTTCTTTTCTTTTGTTTTCTAAAAGTTCATAATTAGTGTTAGGCTGGGATTCAATATCCTTTATTTCTTTTTAAAAGTTTATCTTTATCATTGATGTTTTTTCTATGAGACGCATAACGAATGGTTATTCCTCTAATAGATAAAAGAAGAGTTTAAAAAAAATAACTGGTCTTTAATGTTGAACTGAAGTTCATGAAGCGGAATGTCATTTATATCATTTATATTTTTTTAATGGCTTTTTTTAACTTCATTTACATATGTTACTTATTTTGATAAAGAATTTTTAGATTTCCAGTATGATATTCCTTTTTTTAAATTTGTCAAAATCGAGGGAAATAATTTATAAATTAAAGAATGATCCGTTCGGTAACCCGACAAAATTAGTGAACAGTCAAGATCTGTATACAAATTATCAGAAATAAGAAAAAAATCCAAGCGTGCCTTTTTAACTGGATTTCTTCTAACCATGTGTACTCTCTATTTATTAATGATTTTCACTCCAGCACTCTTAACGATTGTATTCTGACATAATATTAAAAACTTTATCTCTAGCGTTAAAACTTTATCTCTAGCGTTAGGATTATTTAAATGAACATAATTAAGGCAATCCATTTCTGGGTTTAGAATCAAGTTGTAATCTCCCGCCAAAACGAAGAGAGAATTTTCAAACTGTGACATTTTGTCATGAACCAAATGATAAAAGTCTGGACTATCTCTATTAGGTCCATACACATTTACAAGAGTTATATTTTTTCACATATTTTGCAATTTAGAATCAGCAAATTCTCATTATTGTCCCGGTCAATGCTTTAAATTTCACAATCAAAATTATTGCTACACCTCTAGACTGGCTATTAAAATTTCATAACCCCATTGTGCCCTGATATACTTTTCTCCTGGTTGAGTGAAGTGAGTGTCTTGTAGCATACATTTAGTGTTTGTTACATGTATTTGTTGTTTTGTTTTTTTTTTTCATTCAAAAGGTTTAACACATCTTTGCGTTTACTTTTGTCTCCCAAACCTTGTATATTCATTGAAACAATTGACATTTTATTACTCATAGTAATTCATAATTCCTGACAAATGGTTTTTGAACCTCTTGAGAATAATATTATGTAAAAGCATTTTAAGTGAAAAAGGATATTGTCATTGCTGTAGAACCCAAAAATCTTAAAAGTAAAACCTCCAGAAAGACCATCCATCATTGAATCATTAGTATAAAACAAAAGCATGAGATGCATTTTCGAAGAAAAGTGGGTAGTGATATATCTCAAGTGAAACTACAAAATTGGTCATACTTATATACGAGGGCTGTCCGGAAAGTTCGTAGACAAGGCTATAAAATTATTATAAGCAGTCATATCAATATGATGAGTAAATATTTTGCTTTAGTATTTATTCTGCTACAAATTTCTAAATTAAAAAACTTGATAAAAGTTGTATTCGCAAATCGCCAATCACCATGGCAACATGATCAACGAATCACGGAGCACTTTGATTTCATGACAATAGCTACTCGAATAAAAAGTTGCTAAAAGTTGTAATTCTAACGCAAACTCTTGTTTTAATGTTGTGACATCAAGGGTACTATTGCTTGATATTTAGTGCAAATAACGACGTCATACGCTAGGAAACAACTTGTTAACGACGATTATAGGCAATGAAGTTGCGTAAGTTTTGTGTCGCAAAAAATGACGTCAAATTCAAGGACGGAGCAACGTAATGTTATTTAACTTCACAGCAACGCTAATAATGGCACCAATTGAGATTATAATATTTTCTTTAAAAACAAAATCAACCATAAATTGTTCAGGGAAACTTGTGTTTAATTGTCAAACACTATTAGAAGCGGTAATGACAGTATTTTGTATAAGAAACATATGAGGTGACCAAAAGTAGCATGGCCGAAATGTCGCAGATTGCGTTACAACAATCCTTGAAAAAGACAGACATCTCACACACTGTATGGGAACCAGTGACACCTTTGTTGTTTTTTTTTTTAATGTAGTATATGAAATTCATAAAGTAATAGCAAGGAAACATAACATGTATAAATTATACGCCAGACAGGTTCCATGGCTGTTTAAATCGGAAGAAGTTGAATAGTAGATAAACATGAAGTTAAATTGACGCCGTTGACGTTGTCAAAGTGCTCCATGACGATGTATATATGTTGTATGTAAATACTGTAAAAATACAAACGTAAGTCACAATTCAGTAATTTTTGGTAAATGTGTTTGCTAGATATGTATATTTTTGCTGACAAAATTTGTACAACGTATGTATTGTTATACAATAAAAAATTAAAAAGTATATGAACTTTCCGGACATCCCTCGTACATGTGCCTGTAAATCTACCGACAAAAAAATTGGCTTAGTGTTTGTTAAAAAATAAATATTGCTAAATATAAAAAAAAAACAACCAAAAAGGTAAATGGTTAGTTTATGTTTCAGACAAGAAGAAAGAAAAGAGATTAATGAGGTCTGTTTAAAATACATTAATCAAATTTTTCTACATGGAGACCCGGAGTACTACTGTTACAGTAGATTGACTAACTGTTAATTATTTTCATGAATTTTGATGCAAATGGAGTTCTTTTATTAGAAAATATTTTAACGGAAAGTCCCTGATACAAGCAAAAAAAAAATCATGTTACATGGAACATCCGATAATATGTAACGTTCCACATGTAACATCAAAAATATGACACAAAACATGAGTCTTATTCTACATAGAATATTAGATAAAAGGTAAAGCATGTCTCTTACCACATGGTACATTTGATATATAACAATTAATATGTTTCACAGTCCGTGTAAGTTGTAACATAAGAAATATGGCAAATGATATGTTTCATGCTACATGGAACATCAGGCATGTGGTTAATAATATGTTTCATGATGTTACATGGAACATCAAGCATGTGGTAAATAATATGTTTCATGTTACATGGAACATCAGGCATGTTGTAAATAATATGTTTCATGTTACATGGAACATCAAGCATGTGGTTAATTATATGTTTCATGTTACATGGAATATCAAGCATGTGGTAAATAATTTTGTTTTATGTTACATGGAACATCAAGCATGTGGTAAATAATATGTTTCATGTTACATGGAACATCAAGCATGTGGTAAATAAAAATGTTTCATGTTACATGTAACGTCAAGCATGTTGTAAATAATATGTTTCATGCTTCATTGAACATCAAGCATGTGGTAAATAATATGTTTCATGTTACATGGAACATCAAGCATGTGGTTAATAATATATTTCATGCTACATGGAACATCAGGCATGTGGTAAATAAATATGTTTCATGCTACATGGAACACGACAAGGAGCATCATGTAGAAATTTATATGTCAAATAATATGCTCCAGATACATGCATCATGTATTTGGCAAATATGGTACATCATACTAGAAAAATAACCAACAAAAAAATTAACGATCAACTTTATTCAGGCTATCAAGAAGAAATCTAACTTCAATCTCATGCGCATTTTGCATCATTATCTCTGGCTCTTGCATGTACAGTTCATTGCGAAAGGGAAGGCAACCGCTTGACAGCATGTCCATGACGATGTTGTGGCTGAACTGTGCTCTGTGATTTCAATGTGACTGCCATGGTCCAAAGGATAAACTACCAACATCAGCACAACTGCGTATTTTAGTATTTACAAATTAAACTTAAATGTTTAATAGATATATTCTATTTTAGATACGAGTTTAGAGTTTAGTAATTCCATAACCCAATACAACATATAATTTGGGAGTTCAGAAATTTCAGTTTAAAGCGTATGTCAAGAAATAGATATCTTAATATTTTGAGTGCGTTGTTGTAAATAATGTACGGCTCAAGTTCAAATGAGCAGTATTATTATCACGAACATTAGTAGGCCTGAGCAATTGATTACTAAGAATTTGAACGATAAACCGTGCATTGTTATACTACAACGCTAAAATATTGATATATTTTTTCCATTCTTAAAAGCTTCTAGAAAGAGAGTTCACTTAATTGAGCTGAGAAGTTATTTTTCTGACATCACTTGGTTTATTGACGCAAGAGGCTCGCATTATATATTTTATTCAACTCGTTCGATACATTCAGTACTGAATCTAAACTTATTTAATATCATATTCCCTAAAGCTCGCAAAGATACACTTTCTCGCTCACTGGATTCCGACAACAACCACGTATTTTCTACTTATTCAACTCGTTCATTAAATTTTGTAATGAACCTACACTCATTTAATATCCTCTATTTATTAAAACTTTACATTATGTTTGCACAGGAAAAATGTTAAATGAAAGGGAAAAAATGTGTTTTGTGTCCACGGAAAAAAAGCATATTAAACTGATCGTAAAAAAGCTTTGTGGGACAACGTTGTGAAATATTATGTGAGACTTGACTCGGCCACTGCGTTACTAAATTATCATCAATGAGCAGTCATAAACAAGTTGTTGCAAAATCAATAGCGCTGGAATATTATTGAAATGAAAAAGTAAGTTTTGAAAAGTTAAATCCGTGAACGGTTTTTAACATGATATACCTTTTATGACACGAAAAACATTTACATGTATATTTTATCAATTTTTATTGAATAACTAGTTTATGTCTAGTGTTATCTAACCTTTATCTTTGAAAGACATAATATCACGAGGGTATTTCCCAAATAGTTATTTTCAATGATGAATCATTGGAATCAATAAATGTTTTTCGTGTTCCGTTGAAAAGAAAGTAAAAAATATTCCTCAGAATAAAAAGGTGAAAAAGGTGTGAATAAAGGAAAGAAACAAAATGGTTTGGAGGATATGTTTTTTTTCTGCGACATTAACTATATCTGTAATACTTCATTTAACCTCAGGTAAGCCGAATATTCATTTGTTTTTCTTTTTTGTTATTTAACACTGAACACGATATACTGATTATAACATTACAATTCAATGTACATAAGAATGCCATACAATTGTAAGTAATATCTTCTACTACCCTAAACCAGGCTTTTCACTGTTAATCTTAACCAGAGACATAGATAACAATTATCTCCATTGAAATACAAAAAAAAGCATTGATGCAAAGCATCAAAGGGCGTCCAAGCAAGAAATGCAGCAAGTAAAGATGAACTATAGTAGATATCTGATGACCAGATATTCTTATATAATTTTTAATGGTTAATTGGTTTTTACCAGAAGTGTATATAATTTATGAATGGGCGGACGAAAGACATTGTTCATCATGTACTTTGGTAGGCATGCTAGAAATTAGTATATTACTTTTTTCCTCAGGAACTTGAAATTCTATCAAAAGTAACGATTATATCCAAAATATACAGGTCTATAATACCCAAAATATACCCCATTTATCGTATAAGTTTATATATACTATATATTGGGTATTTTTGGATATTATCATTAATATTGGTTATTTGATAATATTTCAAATTCATGTGGTATTTTCTTTGGAACATACAAAATAGTAGTAAAAATGAACAAAGTCTGTTAACTGATTTATTGGGAGGTCAATCTACTATTTTAATGAATAACTAGTACTTCAAAAACCTTGTTTGACCCTCAAGTATGTTTACATTCCTATCAATGAACCCATAAAAACTCAAGTTAAAATTGCAGACCAAAGTTTCTGTTGTTTAAATGTGACAATATCCGGCAAATCAACATTCCACTCAAACTACCATAAAATCGATTTTCTACAAGCAAAATATTGAACAGCAAAAATTCGGGAAATCAGGGTCGATTATAGCTAAAGAGACTTGAACAGCGAATAGGTTTTATATTATACTACTGTTATGCTAGACCTGTTAACTGTCGCACAGCCTCAAAATAAAAGCGACATTTAAAGTTATGAACTAGGTTTATTTAAATATTCACGGTTAAAATATCATAAGTGCAATCCTGCCGTAAAAGGAAAACCGAACAGAACCTACGAAAAAGGCAATTTCAAAATGATAATACTATGATATAACAATTCGTAAAACCGGCGTTCTTAATTTTTTCAATACATTTATAAAGAGTGCAATTAATTGTTTGAATATGTTTGCATTTCATTTCCTGCAAAATTCTTCAGTTCGTTATTCATTACCATAGCGCGTCACGAATGACCGTTTCGTTAAACTAAAAGTACACCTATAATAGATGTTTGGACTTTTACAATGTTAAGTTCATCATGCTATTTATAGGTACAGCAATAACATACATAATAACCCACTGATAAATTAAAAAACCGAAGAGCGTGATTAATAGACGGATAAGATAATTTCATTGAATATGTTTGCATTGCGAGATTCTCCAGTTCGCTATTCATTGTACATACCACGTATTTCATTTTTGATAATCAAACACCTTCATACCAATCGGAATGATCGGCTATTATGACCGACGAAAAGGCCCGAGAAGTTGCAATTGCCCTTTCACAAAATCTAATTTTATTCCATAAAGGGCGTCAAGCTTCGGGGCGGACGCCAATCACTCATGTCTATCAAAAAAATAGATTCTGTGTAGCAATTAATACTTTATGCATGTAAATTTCATCCTTTTATACTTTACACCATTTGAAAGTTAAATCTTTTATCCATTGCTGCAAGTTAAAAATATTGGTAACTTTCTATGCATCTCACTTAAAATAGCATAGTAAAACAAACCCACGAGCAAACCCACTGAGCCATTTTTTTCCTCATATGCATAGTTTTGTAACAGTTCTCTTTAACACATGATGTATCATTTATCTAAATGGGAATTGTAAATGTTTTTACCTGCAGCCATATACAAATGTATAAGCTTTCAGAAAATATATTATTTTACTGATTTTGATATTTGGTTGAAAAGTTTTACTTGCTACAAGCACGGGTGTTAAGAAGTTGCCTATCTCTACGTTTCTGCTTAAACCAGGGGGAGGTTAAAATATGTAATTCTATTTGAAATCACTGCCTACAAAATTAAACATATCGTAAATGTGTTAATGCGATACGTACTGTACTGCCTTTTAAATGGGTCGACTTAAGCGTTGGAATGTGTGAGGGAGAGATATTCATTGGAGTAGGGAATCGTGCTGTTTGAGCCAGTTTCTGACTTTTAAAATTCTGAAAGTATAGTAAAATGTTGTAAAGATTTATATAATTCATTTAACAATTTGTTTTAAAAGAAAACTTACTTATTACGCAGACAATGTGTAACAATATGCTACAGGTCATACAAGTAATAGATATCATTTTATGACTGTTTAACCAGGTTGGTCTTATCGATTTACTTTACTGATAAGAGATATGTGTTTTAACGAATCACCTAAATCATTGTGTTATCTTTCCAATAATAAAAAATGAAACTAGCTAAAACTAGTTGTAGACGCAAAAAAATGAATAAATTTTACAAATTCGTGTCAGATATAATTTCATCGCCTCTTAATTCACAAAAAGAATTTGCAGCCCTTTCCGTCAATCTACACAGGAAGGATAAGATGTTTCGGGCTTACCTGCGCATGTAAACAAATCCTAAAAAAGGTCTGATTTGTTGGCTTACTTCATGTAATTTTTCACCTAAAAATTAAGTTAATCTATAGATATATAAGAAAACGGTAACTTAAAGTACATTATTTATATACTTTTTCATGTTTGCAGAAACCGAAAGTACAAATGTTATATGTTTACAATATTAAATTATTATCATTTTCCTGATTAATATTAATAGCAAGACATTTCGACCAAAATGATTAATATATAAACAAGTTTGCTTCTTTAAAAAGAAGCATGCAAGAGTCTTTCTGCAGCTGTGGAAGATCAGTAAAACTCTAATTCTTTGGAATAAATTTAGTAAACAAATCATATCATTGAAATACTATTTGTTTACATGTTTGTTTCTTTCTTAGCGAAGATTACCGTACCGTACCCGTTCTGCGTATTCTTACTGTATTGTGTTCAAGGGTTTTCGGAAAGGGCAGAGAAGATGCTTACTTTCTGTGTCTGGGACGTTCACTATATGGGATTATACTAACGATCTTTTAACCCATTGCCAGATATACACGCCTTTAACGCCTCTCCCCCCCCCCCCTTTGTTGTCTCAAATGGTGAAAAAATGCCTTATTTAGGCCGCCAACACTTGTTTTTGTTTGAGATTTGTTGTTTAAAAAAGTGACCACTTTTTCGGCGCTGCTTTGACTCTATTTCAATCCATTGAGAAGTTGAAGTACTTTGAGATCAATTTTGATGGAAAAAACCAACACGAAATAGTGATTTTTGGCCATTTTGAGATCAACAGTCAACATTTGTGCCAAGTTTGATTATTTTTGAAGCAGTTTTATAGTTTTATAGCAATTTGAACTTGTAACGGGAGACTTTTCATGAAAACAGCCATTTTTTACAAAATGCTTCCATTAATGGGTTTAACCAAAAAATAATGGTGTTTTTCTAATGCAATTTTAATTTTCTGTTTACCATATTTCCGGTCCAATTTAACCATTTCCTATTTTGTAATATTAAGTTTTGAACGAAGTTAGTCTTTATCCTTATTATAGAAAACTTTATTGCGATTGCATATCCATCTTACGCCATTTAATAACGTTAACAATCTGCTTCCCATTATTCCATTTGAAATCACTGCCTACAAAATTAAACAGATCGTAAATGTGTTAAATGCGATACGTACTGTCTTTTACTGGGGCGACTTAAGCGGTTGGAATGGGTGCGGGAGAGATGTTCAGTGGAGTAGGGGATCGTGCTGTTTGAGCCAATTACTGACCTTTAAAATTCTGAAAGTATATTTAAATGGTGTAAAGATTTACATAATTTATTTAACCATTTGTTTAAAACCATACTCAGATATTACTCAGACATGTGTGGCAATACGTCACAGGTCATACAAGTAATAGATATGATTTATGATTGTTTAACTAGGTTGGTCTTATCGATTCACTTTACTGATAGCAGATAATGGCCTACTTCTCAATTATTAAAAAATGAAACTAAATTAAACTAGTTGTAGACGCGAATTTAAGAACACTGTATAAGAATTCGTGTCAAATATAAATTCATCCACTTTTAATTCACATTAAGAATATTGCAGCCCTTCCCGTCAATCTACATCATGATGAATTATTACCATTTTCCTGATAAATGTCAATAGTAAGAATTTTTGACAACAATGTTAAATATATAAACAAAATTGCTTTAAAAAAGAAGAAGCATGCGAGAGTCTTTCTGCAGCCGTTGAAGATTTGTGAAACTGTAATTACGACTAATCGGCGAGGTCGGTACATGTAAATTAATTTAATTAAGGAGGAATTTTACTTTATTATCTTGGAATAAATTTAGTAAATCAATCATATTATTAAATCACTATTTGTTTACATGTTTGTTTTGTAAGCGAAAGTTAGACCGAAATACCGTACCCGTTCTGCGTATTCTTACTGTATTGTGTTCGAGGTTCTTGGAAAAGGGTAGAGCAGATGTTTACTTACTGTCTGAGACGTACTCTATATGGCATTAACTTTATAAGATCTTTTAAACATTTGCATTTTTAAAATTTTTTTACCGTATATCCTGTCCAATTTAACCATTTCCTATTCTATAATTTTTAGTTTTGAACAAAGTTAGTCTTTATCCTTATTATGGAAAAGTATTGCGATATTGCATATCCATCAACGTTAACAATCTGTTTTCAATCTATTTATCAATATTCCAGCACAACTATCTACGAATGAAGCATTACTTAACATGACAGCATGTGATTCATCTAAAATCACGTTAGACTGTGGACCGGGCTCAAAGATTGCTATAAACTCATTACATTACGCCTATCATGTTAGCTGTGAGACAACATGTTGTACATACGACAAGTCGCACTGCTTTGTTGAAGCCGAGATAAACGACATTCGAGCTGTAACTCGTGATTGTTCTGGAAAATCATCCTGCCCTGTGCATATAACTACAGAACCAACAGACTTCACAACCACAACTTGTGCCCTAGGCGTTCAGCCTATTTCATATGTTTATTTAGAGTATTACTGTATACCAAGTAAGTTCATTAATAAAAATATAGTAAAAATTCTAATGTAGGACTGAATATTTAAATTAATAACAAAAAATGTTAATCTGTTATTCATTTCTACTATTATATCAATTTAAGTAAATATGTAATAAGTTACTAATAACTAATAATGACAGGCTTTCATTGATCTATTTAGGAAAAAATATCATTTCAAAAGTATATACAATAAACATGTCACAAATACTAATTTAGTTGTTCTTTTTGGTTGCTCTTTATCATCCAGGTGCACGAATAATGTCAGTATGTTCTAAAGGACATCTGGAGGAGTCAGACGGCAAGCCCCTGTATCTAACCAGCGATAATTATCCTGCTGTAACAACTGGAAGCACGTCCTGTTCATGTTCCTTTGAAGTATTCTCCTGTACATCAAAAATAAACATGTATACTATTGATGCAGACTTATATCTAGATACAAATAATTGTGAACAGAATCTGAATTTCCTCGACACAGACAATAATACCTTATCAACGATTGGTTGTGATGAACATTACAATAACAACATAGAAAGTAGATTGTTAAATAGTCACTACGTAAAGATTGATTTCATCAACAACAGTACATCAAACCAACAAGGCTTATTTTTCGTCGGACTTGATGGTAAGTTTATTCTTCCTATACCAGTAAATATTTTCAATATTGTTATTAATACAAGCTGAATAAATCTAACGCGAAGGGGCACAATGTTTGATTATTTACGATATATACCTTTATTTTATGCTTTTCAGTGGATTACTGATTTATCCGTGAAAATTATATTTGATAATTTCACAGTGAAAATTATCAAAATATAATTTCACACTTTTCAATGACGAAACTACTTTTTTAAGATTTTCCCCATGTGGTACCTCAATTTTATTTTTGCTGACAATTCTGACAATGTCAGGCTGTTTAAAGAAAAGCAAAGCTGAAATTGATAAATAACTTAAATGTCAAAAGTAATAAAAAGAAGAAAACTTACTTCTATTCATTCAAATTCCAATTACCAAATTTCGTCTCTAAATTTTATTGTTTCATTTTTACAGTCTGAAAAATACATTCCTTCCACATTCAAAACTGCTCTTGATAACATTTGGGCATATTAAAGTATCCTACGAGCAATAACTCCCGTATGCTTTATGAAAACTTGAAAAGCAATGACAGCTATCCCCGTAGAATAAGTAAACAGCCCAGCGTTCCTGAGCCAGCCTTTGATTAGTTTGCAGTTTTCCATTTTCCTTGCTGCTATTTGAATGATTTCACATCTGTCAACACTTATTTTTTGTCAGTTACAATCCTCAAATAAGTTTTCTTTCTTTTAAAAAGGTGTATTACTAACAAATCCAAATGATATCCCTTGAATCAAACACAATTATTTTCCACCCGTGAAATACACAACTTTAAAAAATGGCTGCTGCTTACATTTAACAAAGCCAGGTCTAATATATATTCGCAGTAAGTAACGGAAATATGGATGGATGGTTGGACTTTTTCTCCTACAAGAATTGTTTGTTTTTATTATTAAAACAAGCGATCATTCTTATTTTTTTAATAAAATGAATAATATCACCGTCATTTAACGTTGATTGTGGAACTAATTTTTCAGCTCAAGACTTCTTGTATTTAATGAGAAATTCCGACTAAATGGGGTTCTCAATGGGGAAAACAGATTTTAATATTAACGTTAATATTATGGAAATTTCGTTTTAACTTGTTTTTAAGCATAAAATAAAAAGAAAATTTTATTTCATCTCGTGAACTTATAAAAACAGTATTCTCACTCGTGGCTACGCCACTCGAGAGAATACTGTTTTTAAAGCCCACTCGATGAAATAAAATTTCATCTTACACACAAACAAACAAATATCCTCTATATATTAATTGATAGGGAACTGGGTAAAATACATGAGATATATCGATCCTGTTAAATGTAACCATATATAACACAACATAAACAAGTTCAAGAGTATAGTCAAAATAAAACTAACAAGATATAATAAAGAGGTCAAGATTGTGTAAGAAACAAATGTAAATAATATTGTAGAACCAATGATAATTGTTGGGAAAGATATAAGACGTTCCCGTATATAGGGTGGTATATGTGCTGCGTTCAATGACAACAGTAACACACCAACTATAACAAAACTATTCTGAAGACGAACAATAGATACAGATACAAATGTACCTGTATTATAAACCGTCCGAACTTTAGTTTCTTGTATTATATGCATAAGATGTGGTTACATTTGACACTGTAAGGTAACATGAGAAAGGTTCAGGCTCTTGTTATCTATCATTTTCAGGTATTCTAATACAATGGCTGTATTCAATATGCACAAAACGTTTATCAGTTCTGAAGTAAAATAAAAAACTTTCACTTTCTTCATTTTAATTTTGAATGGCAGTATTGTGCGACGATGGTTGGGCCCATGGTTTTCAACAAACTATGTCCGTAAATAAACGAAATCCTATTAAATCTCTATTTAAATTTTCATATCAAAACACAATATTAACTTTCATACTTATTGGAATATGAAGCTTGCATTATTATATTAATGCAATTAATGTCAATCCATGTTTGTGTGGGTATTGGCAGATAATTCTAAAGATGAAAGATTTATTTTACTTATCAGTTTCTTTGTTTGATTTATATCATATATTTAAGCTTCAGATACGGGTAAGCGCTATAAGCTGACTTGCAGTTCCCAACCGGAAACATGGTGTGCCGGTATGTTAAAATGGTACCTCGTTTTACTTCTCGCTGAATAACGCAATGAACGCAATTTTACTATTAACTACTTTCAATAACACACGCTTATTCATTTTTTTATTTGAGATTCTGGGAAGATTTCCTTTTTGCATTGGGGTCATTTTTGGACTTAAGATATTATTAAAGATCAAAAACTGGTTTGTTATTTAATAATATACAACAGGAAAAAAAAATTGTACTTATTCAACCAAACATTGTCAGTTCTATATTCTCGAAATCAAAAGATTTTTATTGTTGATTTTGATTTTATAATAATTTGTGACATGTGATCACGTCTAGGATGTGGTAATCTTCCAAATATCGGCAATGGAAACATTACACTTAGCAAAGAGAACGATTTTTCTTATGAAGCAACAGCCGAGGTTACTTGTGATTCAGGTTATAAAACAGATACACCAAATATAAGTTGTCAAACTAATGGATCATGGTCGATTGCAAAGTGTACAGAAAAACGTAAGCCGATTGATAACAATTTATTTTCCCCGTTGTGTTTGTCTTAAATATTTCTTTATAATGTTACTTAGTTATTTCCGAGTTAGTAAATAGATATGTAAGTATAGTTACTAAGAAAATAAAGTATACATTCATGTATATATAACTTATTTTGTACTGGTATGTGTGTATAATCATGTTTACTTTTTATCAGGAATTATGTTACATGACGAACTATTGTTCTATGTATAATATTTTATAGCTCCATGTTCAGCAAATGAGTGGAGATGTGCAAATGGAGATTGTATATCCGTGAGCGAAAAATGTGACAATGTTCCCAACTGCATTGATGAATCTGACGAAAAGAGTTGTTCAAGTAAATTCAAGATGTTTTATTAAATTTATTTCAATGACACATTTGATACAACTTCTCAAGTAAATTCATCGCAATGAAAGTAACCGATCAACAAACTTGTTCACTTCGCTGATTGTGACTTCCTGTTTATTTTATATCATTACTGTAATTATTACTAATGTTTATCTTAACATATAGTTTTAATCACGACAATAAACTGTCATATTATTAATCATAAAGATTATGCATGGTTATGCAATTTTCTGTATATCAAAAAATTATTTTACTTCAATCTGTCATCGAAACCATTAATAACTATGACAGCGAAACCTCCTTTATTAGCATTTTTTTACAGTGAAATCCTAAATAACGTTTGACATTAAGTTTACTATTTAAGATCCATCATGCCCGGAAAGTCTGGAGTTATGTAAACATTCTAATGGAAGCCATGTGTGTGTCGACAAAGGAACTGAGTGCGGTAAGTATATCATCTATCATCGGGACGATCTGTTATTTTTGTTTACAAAAAGTTTTCTCGTATTATTGACGTCAACAATGAATTGTTACCCAATACCTAAGTATTAAAAAAAACATAATATCGTCATTAAAAGAATTAGTATTATCATAATTGTACATGTCTTGTTATTTATACAGATTCCTTTCTGAAGAACGTAAATTAATATTTTGGATGATTGTCAAAAAGTGTTTGGGGTCTGTCTGTGATTTATCAATTTCTCCTGCATCATAATTTATGGTCACTTTTCCAGGTCAATAATTGTGACACGGATTTTAACTAAATAATTGTCCTATTTGAACATTCTTGAAGATTTGTATACAACATCAATCTTCAAATATACTAAAGATATCAAATTTTATCTTAATACAAGCTTTGTGACCATAACTAGAGGTCACTTTCCAAGACCCATATCTCTTGACTGAATAATGACCGTTTGTGACCTAACAGGTCAGTATCCAACATGCAAATTAGTGTCATAAATTTTTAATGTTATCTTTCTTTTTGTTACAGGCTCTTTTTTTACTTTCAACCACGCAGAATAGTCGGGAGCACTGAGAGTTCTCGTTATTATTAAACTTACTTCAGTTATCATTTAACTTACTTCCGTTTTTATTAAAATTACTCAAGTTAAAACTAATTTAGTCATTATTAAACTTACTCCACTTATTTTTTAACTTACTTCAGTTATCATTTAAATTATTTCAGCTATTATCAAACTTACTACAGATATTATTAAGCTAACTCCAGATATTATTCAACTTATTTCAGTTTTCATTAGATTTACTCAAAATGTTTATTTAGAGTAAGTTTAAACAACTATAAGACGAATTAACGGTTATATATTCACTTGTGGGATGGATTTTAAATGTACTTTACTTTAAATGTGTTGTGAATGGTATTATTTGACATCCATTGAAAAATAAAATCTATTTCGTAAAATTATGACTATATAAGGTTAAAACTGTGTTGAAAAGTGCTAAATGAAGTTCATGTTACTAAATATAATCAAGTGCCTTGGTAAGAAATGTTACTTCCCTATTTTATTTTAGCGCGACTTTATTCGAAAGTTATCGATTATGTCCCATCCGACTGAACCGATAATCGATTGGGACAAATTTCATCCGATTTCCATCACTAACTTGTGGGATGGATTTTAAATGTACTTTACTTACAAGATTGTTAGGTAACCCTGTAACATTTCCTTGGTTCTTTTTTTACGCAATTTGTTTCGATGTGCAGTTTTAAACAATGTGCTTTTATGTTGTGGTACTGTACCATCAATTGAAAATGGGATTGTTTCACTTGATTGAAATTCATCATATGGGTCTGTAGCTGATGTGACGTGCAATAAAGGATATGATCCGAGTAGTGCGAACATTACTTGTTTAATGACTGGTTCATACGAGATTGTCTCTTGTTTAGCTAAAGGTCATTCCGAAAAATATATTTTGAATGAGATATAAATATTATAAATCAATATATGTATATAAATGATTTAAAACATCTTGAAACAGAAAAATTAATGACCAATTATAATTTACGCAAATTTTATCTTATTCTTTCATAAACATACAAAAAATCTTCGCATATTTCATAAAAACAGTTCGCAAAGAGCTGTGTCTATCTCATTAAACAAATATGCTTCATCTACCAACAGAATATCATACTCTACGTCTTTATAATTTCTGAATTTCCACATGCATGTATTAAAGTCAAGCTTTAAGATAAAGTTTCATTTTTATATTTTTATAGTGCTTAGGGAATTTAGTTCTATATTTATAATTACCAATGGTTCATTTATCATTTAAATTGCCGTGGATGCAAACAGAATTTAAATTTTACAAAAACCGTCACTATGTAAAAAGCTTGATAGACTGTAGTAAAACATATGCAACCGTATGCAACGGTAAAGTACTTAATAGCCGTTTCAAAAACGGAAGTGTCTGTCTTGGGATGGACGGTGAAATAATGCTGTGCTCCATTCTATCGCGATTGTTCTCGACAAAGTAGCTTCTTTTTCGAAAGCCGTATGTAAAATTGCTTCTGCTATGGTTTTACTGTAATCACTGCGGCAATAGATATTTGCTTTTTGCTTTGTGAGATTTTGACCTTTTTTTCTTTTCATACATATTTTGTCAGGTTGTTCATTGTTTCCTAGCGGTTTATCACGATATTCCCGATAGGCCGTTAAACTGTGGATCTTAGGCCACAATTTACCAGGTATGTATAATGTTTCAAGGTCAAATGCTCATAGGATGTCTTATTTATCCAGCATTACCCCCCCCCCTTTCAAAAAAAATTGATTAAAATTAAGGCTAAAAAAGTTTTTTGCCGGGACATTTCTCATGCATTTTTAAACTGTATTTATTTCTAACTGATACAATTATTATTTAGGGACATGCAATGTCTTGGCTAAAATCAGACATTAACAAGTAATTATGGCGACAAGTAATTCTTAATGCTGCCCTTATATTTATTGTTTTTTCTCTGATAGGTACAACACCAGCACTTCATCCAAAGAAGAAGAAAGACACTGGAGTTGATATAATCATCATCATAGTCGTAGTAGTTCTGTGTTTAATCATTCTACTCCAGCTTCTAGTTATGTGTTATCTACAATGTAAAATACATAATAAAAGAACAACTGCAAGTAATTACGTTGTCATTACTATAAATATAATAGTATACACAGTTGACCACCATCCTGTTTCTTTTAAAGTTGGAGATTTTTATGTATCATTATTCCCAATATTTTCATTATAAATGCTTAATTGTTGATTTTTTTTCGTTCCAATTTATGTTGTTGATTTGTTGTTATTTTTCTTCTTTTTTCATCAAAGAAGTAAATATTCCAGTCAAGGTTTATAGATAATGTTTAGTATCCGATAAATTTGTAACATTTTTATGGTAGTTTACAAATTTGGCGAAGGTATCTTCTTAAAGACTTTAGAAAAAGATATAAACGTCTGATTACAGCACCCGATAAGTCTGAGGTCAGTAAGCGGATAGTGATGACTATATTAGGAAGTATTCCAGTGGTCGGACTTATACCAATCTATATGACATGGAAGATTTCAAAAACGTAAGATAAATTGACTGCATGAACTTGTAAAAAGTCTTCAAATAGACAGTGTTTTTTTATAGTTCTGTGTATATTTAAACGAAATACAACAATTTGAATTTCGCCAAGGCGTCTAACTTCGATTTGTGCAGTTATGAATATTAAATAAAAAGTAGTCTTTGCACAGAGCTAAAGAGTAAAAAAAATTCTTTATTTTAGTCTTTTCCTGCTTGTCACGCATATTAAATTTGTCAATTTAGATTGTTTACTGAGATTAATTTTAATCAAGATAGACATGACTATTATCTAGGCGAGATATATCGAAAATCATGTTTAAATATTGATATTTCAGTGTTAAGCTGAAAAATAATTCATTTGTCATTTTTATATATTATTTGTTGGTTACCACTGTGGTACTGGTCATCTTGTAAATTACTGAATGTTATTTCCTGCAAATAATTTCAGTCAAAAACAAGAATCAAACGAAAGAAGGAAGTCAGAAGGACAGTAAAGGTGCTTCTAATCCTACGCATGGTAACATACCTATAAATAAAAACGCAGGTGAACGTGACTTCTCTCATATTCATGGCGCCAGTGGAATCGAACTAAAACAGACATCAGAACGCTGGAAAAATTGAGTCTGATTCTACACAAAATATTAACCATGAAACACCCACAACGCGTGATGGGTAATCTTATTATGTGTTTTGTTTCTTTGATTTGGATGATTTATTGTTATATAACTGTGTTTTTTTTTTCTTTATCAGAAATTCAAAGTGAACAAAATCTAAACATTCTAAATGAATTTGAAATAAAATACATAACATATCTGTCGTTATATCATTGCCTTCACATTTAATATATAAGCCAAGAACAATTTCTTTCGACCGCCATGAAGAACTTTAAATATGACCGATATTCAACCATATATTATATTCTTTAAATTCAAGTTGTGAATCATGTATGTGGAAATCGTGAATTCATGAAATTGAAATTGTGTTTTTGAGAAGTTGATATTGTGAATTGATGAAGTTGAAATCGTGAGTTCATTAAGTTGAAATTGTGAATTCGTGAATTCAAGAAGTTGAAATGTCACCGACAGTAGATGTCTACAATGGAAAATATGCCCGACAAAGAAAAAGTAATGAGCATTTAAATTTTTCTATATCACTTATAAATGGATACATCAAGTTGGTTTATCAAACAATTAATTGATAAACGAAACATTAATGAAAGACACTAAAATGAGTTTAATTTATTCATTACAAAACATTAAATCGATATACATTTCCTTTAAATAAAATTTCTTTCAATTAATAATACGAAAATTATTCTAGAGGACATATACATAATATTAATTTTTAAGTTTAATTATCATTTTATTTACTTCTTCCTCGTTATAGTTGACATGCAAAAACTTCAATTATTTTTAAATGTGTATATAAAACACTAATAAGATAATGAACACAATTTTTATACTGATATAATGATACTATTATGACGTCACCTCAAGATGTTAGTCCTTGGTGTACGTTGTTGTTGAATGAAAGACTGTCAGGTATGTACAAAATGCTGTCATATAAAACGGAGACTTTTTACTGTATATAATTTATGTCTTAAACAGATATCTAAATGTGCGTTCTTTCCTAACCTTCTGTTAACATCCATTCTTATAATATTTGTAATCCCCCATGATCTTGCAACCGATATTTAAAATGTAATGAACAAACATGTTACAGTTTTTTTTTATATAAAAATGCTGTGTGCAAAGTTCAATCATGTTAACTTCTCCTATAAACATGTAATAAATGATCCAATAATAGCCCTTCATAAACATGTGATTTTTTCAGCTTCGGGTCCACAAATAAATATTGGTTAAGAGAACATTGTAATACGGGGGTTTAATAATTATATTATATGATATTTTTAACTGATGGTTTTGTGAGATTTATTGAGCCCGCGCTATAGGGGGGAGGGGGCATTTAGATTTACCCTTGTCCGTCCGTCCATCCGTCCGTCTGTTCGTCCGTTCTCTTTTTGTGTCGCACGTAGCTAAAAAGTAATTGACCTAGAGTCATGAACCCTTACAGGAATGTTCATCAGCATGTGAAGTCGTGCAACTGGGTATTTTCATGTGGCTATATTAGTATTTTTTAGAGTTATTGCCCTTGACTTAGTATAGTAAAAATTTGCAATTTTCAACTTGTGTCTCACGTAACTAGAAACAATATTTAACCTAGAGTCATGAAACCTTTAGAGTTATTGCCCTTGACTTAGTAAAAATTTCCAATTTTCAACTTGTGTCGCACGTAACTAAAAAAGTATTTTACATAGAGTCATGAAACCTTACAAGAATGTTGCTCAGCATGTGTAGTTGTGCACCTGGGAATTTTTGTGTGGATATATTTAGTATTTTTATAGTTATTACCCTTGACTTAGTAAAAATTTCATATTTTCAACTTGTGTCGCACGTAACTAGAAAAAATATTTGACAAAAAGTCATGAAACCTTACAGGAATGTTGATCAGCATGTGTAGTTGTGCACCTGGGAAATTTTTGTGTGGATATATTTAGTATTTTTAGTGTTAACTTATTGCCCTTGAATATGTAAAAATTTCCAATTTTCAACTTGTGTTGCACGTAACTCAAAAAAAGTATTTGACCTGTAGGCCTGAAAGTTTACAAGAATGTTGGTCAGCATGTGGACTTATGAACCCTGGGGTTTTCTTGTGGATTTATTCAGTATTTCTAGTATTTTCCCTTTACTTAATAAAATATTTTTAGTTTTCAACTTGGGCATATGTAGCCAAAAAAAACATTTGACATAGAGACATAAGATTGACAAATCGGCGGAGTGTGGGGGCACCCGTGTCCTATGGACACATTTCTAGTTTTAGATTCATTTATACTCGTATACTGTTATTTTCTGGCCCTTTTCACCACAGTGCCCCCAGCAAGATAACCCTAAACGAAAAGTGTATACGAAAAACAGATTAGGTCTTCCCGTGGATCATGGTTTAGAAAAAGTAAAAAAGTATAATATGAAAGTATTATGTTATGTATAGTTCACATGATTAATTACATTAATAAAACAATGACCACATTTCCATGCTTCTAAAAGCCATATCTCATAAAGAAGGATAACAACTATAGTTTACCTAACAAATTTACTTCCCTTTATAAGAAGTAGTTTTTTCTGCCTGGTTTAAGGTAATTTTTCAAAATACACAATTACATATTACATAAAAAGATTTAAACAAATAATATCAAAATCAACCACAACTGTCTCCGCCTAATCTATCGGGGACCTGAACACCGTAGGGAACGTGTTACAGTATCGCGTTTTCCGGTTACAGTATTAAAATTTTAAAGATTGAGGATTTTTTGTGGGGAGGACAGGTAGGTGATTTTTTCCGGTCCATACTACAAGTAGTTTTGTTTCTTAAAGTTGCTTGAAAGGAACAAAATTCGGTATCTAGTCATATATCTCTTCAGACCCTGCACCGCAGATTTATCACTATATTGTCTCATAAAAATGCAAATTTGACAGTTTGAATCGAGAGACCAACGCACTTTTCTCCCATTCCGACATTATTTATGCATGCCTAGAAAAGTAAATCTGCAAAACGTTAGTCCTTTATGTTAGGAAACGTTTAAAAAAGTAAATGACCAGGTGAACCTATTTTCCTGTTCGTTAAATGCGTTTGAAAAAATAAACAATGTTACAGTAGAGCGAGGTGATTTGTGCAGGGTTACATCATAGACCTAGCGATTTTTATCCAATTTTGTTACAGTTTTATACCAAGATTTCGGTTACATCATAGACTTCGATATTTTCTAAATATACTAGGTAAAATGTATGAATGTTACAAAGATTTTTAAATCTCTGTGAGCTTATTGGCCCGATGGCTATTCGTCCGTCTGCCGTACACATGTGTGTGCAATCTCATCCGCTCAGTAACTACTTGACTAAATGTGATGAAATTTACATGACTTACTACCAAAGTTGCTTTAAATGGTTTCGGTTGCAATTGGGGATACGAAAACCCAAAACATAGATTTTGAAAAAAGGCAATGTTTAAAGATCCTTCTCATCTCGAATCAAAAGCATTCAAATCAAATTATGATCATGGCGTCATTTCAGATACTTCTTTGTTGAAGTTACGATTATTTTGTCATTATTAAATTAAAAGCCGTTTTTTTTAATTGCAGACATCCTGTGTCAAAGTTTTCATGTTTTTGAAAAAGAAAATAATATTGAAAGTTGTAGAGTATAAATTAAGGTCAGACAATTCAATATCTTCTCCAGTGAGCCTGATGGAGGTACATAATAATGGCAGAGTCGGGATAAGGCCGCCGACTTCAAATCATCTTTCCTTTACGGCTGTAGTTGAAATCCCATCGTAACTTTGGATACTTTGTATGTGAGCAATCTGTTAAGCTAATTTACGGAAGGTCGGTGGTTCTAGCCAGGTGCCCGCTCTGTCTGAAATGTTTCACAACGGGTATCTGGGGTCTTTCTTTACACTAAAGCAGGAATGTTTTCACATGACCTCAGTGTCGTTGAAACTTAAAACCAAGAAAGCCAAACTTAACAAATATGATAAACAAGATCAGCAGGAAATTTATGTTTATTTGTTGAATATTTTGTAAAGATTGTAAACTATGAAATTGACCGTCATTATCTATCAAATCAGCAACAAATGTAATACCTTTTTGAAACAAATTATTATAAAAAAATTGATGAACCTCCAACCGTCAATGTTGGAATGAACCAGGCTGGTTGCTTAAGATATTCTTCTCAATAAGTTATTTGTACTTTTGGATAAAATATAGTCCACGATTAGAAAACAACTTTCCAAAATGGGTTATCGACTCTATGTGACTGATTTTTTTTATATAAAGTCAGGACCCAATTTCGAAAGTTTATATATATTCTGAAAAGAATGTTCGATGATGTTTTTACATTTTTTGTTTTCATTGAACATACGTCTGATCATCGTCGGATACCCACGATTGATAAACATGTTACATAACATGCAATCAACCGTGGGTAAAATGAATCAATTTGCGTCGATATACAGCAACAGGTGCGTAAAATATCTACCAATGACATCGCGGTTAACAAATCTATATTCTTCAACAGCGGAGATAAAAAGCAATAAGAAACAAAATGGCAGCGCCCACGGTTAAAAACTGTTGTACGTTTCTTGCTAAAATCAATGGCAAAAACTATCGCCAAATCAGTTCTTCTGCAAGCAGATATCAATCAGAAAGGAAAACATCACGCTGTAAAAGTAAATTATCCATTCTTTCTTGCTGGAAATCGTTTAATTTTTCGATGTTGAACTTTTCACGTCGTCTATGGTTGTCGTAATAGTGTCTGTAATACCGAACGTCGTACAGAACGAGTGATTTGATTGGTTTTAATCGCCTCATGAAATCGTGAGGCAGCCAATGAAATAGCTGCCTTTGGCACACCTCTAATCGACTGAATATCGGCTAAAAATCCCACGGCTGATAAATGTTAATGGTTCGGCAGTGGGTATCCGACGATGACGTCTGATCCAACCCAACTTTTAAGATTGAATGAAGGATTTTAGTTCAATCCTGTTTAT